TCCCTTCACACCCACACACAAAAGAAGAAACCACATATACAGAGAAGGAGACAGGCACTTAAAGCACACACAGCATAACAGTGAGACACTCATTCTACATGCAAACACACATTTTCTTCGCTCCAACAAAGATACAAGGCAAGTCAGAATTAACCCGTTGTGTGCTGGGGCCCTCAGGGACAGATCAAGGGCCTTTTGTTTTGCACAAAGAAATGATGTGTGTGTGTGTGTGTGTATGAAAAGGAGAGAGGGGAGCAGTGTTGGGAAAAAAATAAGGCAGATAAAGTGGTTTAGTACAGATGAGCAGCAGCAGAGAGGTGGTGCCTGTTAGTACAGATGAGCAGCAGCAGAGAGGTTGTTATCACACATGTTATCACCGCAGGTACAGGATTGGAATGTTTTGAACAAGGCCTTTCCACATTAGACCTGAGGAGTGTTTCATAAAGTATGACCAGGTTTACATCAGTAAGTCAGGCATATTTTCAAGAAATTCAGTTTCATAAAAGTCTAACATAAGTTAGCATGGGAACTTACTGTATCCCTCAACATTAGCCTGGCCAAGCTGGCAATCTACCAGTTGTCCCTCAGTACAGATGTAAGTTCAACTGCATCAAATACCAATTTATCACAATCTGAGAGACTTCAGGATGCAGTTATTGCTCACTACAGTAATAGGGCTGGTTTATGGTGTCTCAGAACTAGAGCTTTAGCAGTGCTTTTCCAACAATATCACAAATCAAATGTATTTATAGTTGTTGTAACAGGCCGCACTAGAGCGTGCAGTGAAAAACGAGCTGTAATTGGATGTTGCTGTTTGACATCCATGTTTCTAAGTGTGTGTGTAAGATTAGCAATATAAAGATTCAATTCAGGTGATTATGATTTTAACACTTTCTCATTTTACACCAGTTTGTTGCATTTTTCTCTGCATCTCCTCGTGAGGGTATTGGATTTAAGTTAAAATAGTCAATCATTTTTCAGATAACAATAATTAGACTAACTAAATAATAATGTTTTGAGAAAAAAGTTAACAATTTGCTATGATGAATGTTCCTTACAATAGTTTTGCTAGTCCGCGCTGTCTGCAGGGTCTTAAGTATTAAAACTTAATAAAACAATTATGTGAAAATTAAGGCCATGAAAAATGACTAAAAAGTTTAATCACCATTTTGAGAGGTATTAAATTTGGTAGCTGTTTTTTCATATGAAAAGCCTATTTGTCTAAAGAGTTTGTAAGCTAAAAGTTGGTGTGAATTTATTTATTAAAAGTGAGTAGCCGTGTAGCTTGTGGAATTGTTTACAGATGCGACATCACCCACCTGCGCCTGGCTAAATTTGATGACGCTGGCAAAGTTCATACTTTCACTGACTGCTGTCCGCATGGATCTCAGGTAAACAGCTACACCAAAAATGTTATGCTGACTTGAAACTAACAAACGTCATGGTGAAACGCACATTCTCGGACAAGTGGTTGAATGTGAACCACAGCCCATCACTGGAAAGTTTATCCTCAATGGGAATCAGCGCTATCTGGTCCCATATGCGCAGTGCTAGTTACAAATTCGCTATGAGATGCAGACAGCAGATGTCGACTGTTAATTTTTGTGCTAAATCGGCTCCACCAGCTCCACCACTACCGGCACCCATGGCTGAAGTTACTGATATGACAGCCACGGCTTCGTCAGGCTGAGGGTGACAATGGATGTACACAGAGGCTGTGTGGTGTCTGGACACAGAGGCAGACTAGCAGTCAGCTTGAACGATGAAGTGGAAGTGGCCAGAGTGCCTGGATGTAAACACACTCTAATGTACAAATGAGATCTTTGCACAGTGCTTATTCAATACCACTTGGAATTGGCTTCATTTATAGGCTCATATTGTAATTTTGCTTAAGGAAATTTGAACTCCACAATAAATAATAATAATAATAAACAAAATATTTTTAAAAACACAATGATTCACTTGAGGAGGAAAGCTGATTCGGGCCACTTCGGCAGGTAATGAGAAAGTACTTTAAATGGCAATGCTACAATTTTTAAAAGATCCTAAATATATCCATGGATAAGGGTATGCAATGTTGACAAAAATATCTGGATATTTTGGGGGATTTTGTTGATAAGAATAAGCAATTTGCATCTTTCAAAACGTGTTTAAGTCTTATTTTGCACTAGGTCACTCTTATTAATAGTATATTCATTGTTTTTTACTAATATTAATGGAAACAACATATTTCATACACAAATTTACTTAAAATTGAAGCATTCAAGTAAAAGAGTAGAAAAACTCTGAAATCACTTTCTGCAGAATGATTCCACTAAAGTCTGCTGAGTGTGTTTTTGTGCTGGTACCTTGAGTTTAGTCCTGTTGTGGACAGCTTTTCATATTCTGTGTGGTGGTTAGTTCATATGCAGATGGTGAAACACGCCAAGACGTTGTCTTTAACAGCAATCGATTTCCAACATAATTAGCAGATTGGCATCTTTTGAGCAACAGCCATATTTGAAAGCCAAAATACCTCCATGCAAGTGAGGATGATCCATGTCTAAGAATTAAATTAATGGCATTAACTGCAAGGCCAGTGTGGTGTCTACATTTTGTCTCGTGGTGCTGTCTGTTCACTCATTTTAATTTCGCTAATGCATTTTTATGCAGCTATGGTAGCTTAACTTTTGGTTTATGACCAGGCACAGATTACGTGTCTATTATCATAGACCATATATATTGCACACCCCTATATGTGTGAATGTGAGCATTAATGTCAGCCCTGTGACAGAATGGCAACCAATCCAGGGCTTCCACTGCCAGCTGGGATAGGTTCCAGCCCCTCCCTCCAGAATAAGAAGATGCAGCTAATGAATGGATGAATGGACCCATGTATATGGACAGAAAAATCAAACTAAAATCTGCACTGAATTCAAATAGGTCATGAAATATAGAGTATATCAGATTTTACATGGCCTGAAAACTCACTGGTCATTTTGCATTGGTCCCCATTCATACCAATGAAAGTATGTCCACATTAAAGCAGTTAAATTTAAAAAACATTTTCAGCTACCTGTCCACATTACACTAGCACTGCCAAAAGTGCAGCTTTATAGAACTTATTTTCATATGAACAACAATAAAAAGTTGTGCCCTGACTGCTCCATTATCTATGGACAGATTACGGATTGCACACCCCTCTCTCTTCCCAGTCTCCTCTCTCTACACTGTCAAAAAAGGCAAAGCTCCAAAAACATACATAAAAAAAAAATCTCTCTCCAGACTACATGAATCTGGCACCAAAGACTTGGCGCTATAATGGGAATAATGAACTAGATGCTTTTGCAAAAGTTTGTCACAGTTGGAGACGGTGGGTGTTCAGACTGAAAACAGCTCTTCATATGCATTAAAAAAATCCAAGGGAAGGAATTGGTATGGAAATGGTGTTTCAAATACTGGTGAGGTGTTGAAATGTGCTCTAGGATTTTCAAACAGAGTAACAGATCCATTACTAATATTGTAAGCAAGGATTAAACAACACTGGAAAGTTATCATAGAAGCAATTATTTTAATTTTTCATCCCAATGATCGCAACATAAAGAATCTGCTAGAAATGTGTGACAGTGGGTCTGTACTGAAAGAGAGCAGAAGGGGACTAAACAGTAGTTTAATCAGCTGAGACTGTAACCAGGCTGTTATAGCCTACTCCTTATAAGATCATGGACATCATGAGTAATTTTACTCTTAATCAGAATCAGAATCATCTCTGCCAAGTATGTTTGAATATACAGCAATTTGACTCCGGTACAGAGGCTCTCAATGTGCTGTAAGGCAACAGGGATCGAAAATAACAATGAAAATAAAAATAGAGCAATAAAAATGAGAATAAACAGTGTGCGCATTCAAGTAGGAAATATGTGCAATCAAAAACAGGAAAGGAATGACAGGAAAAGAGAGACAGCGTTTATAAATATATGTACATTACAGCAGAAGAGCTCTCACACTGATATATACCATTTTTTTTCCACTAGGGTGATGCTGTGTCTAGTCTAACACTACTACTACTGAAGACAAGATTTAGAGGTTTTCCAGTTGTTTAGCTTTTTCAATGTGGATGGACCTCTTTACCAAAACAACATCTTAAATCTTAATGTGAATGCACGGCTGTTTCACATACAGCGTTTCACATTTAGATGGCTCAGTGTGAACATAGCATAAAGCTACTGTTGGCTCTATACTGTCGACTGTTATCATTTTTCCTTAGCCAGCCAACTTCAGGTATAGATTGGCAGACCTCCCTAGAAGCAATATTGGAAAATTTGCAAAAGATGAATAAAATCTAAATAGTCTGCTCAGTCTCTTTAAACAAATACAAATCTTTAAGAAGACATGTCAAAGCTGCTAGCAGACACAATTGCAACATGGGATGAAATTAGCATTGCTGTATTCAGATGGATGTCAGACTTGCTTTGTGTGGTGCTGGATGCAGTGAAAGAAGCAGCATTAATGCGTCCATTTTAAGGTGTAAACTGTGTGTGTGTGTGTGTGTGTGTGTGTGTGGATGTCTTTGTCTAGAGCACTGCAGCCCAGGAGGAGGGAGGGGGAGCTGGTGATGGTGTTGGGGTGGGAGTAATGAATGTGAATGTGAACAAGCTTCAATAGTCTCCATGCCATTAGCACCACCCCACTACCTTCACCCTCCCACCTCCTTGGCTCTCTGATCACACACAAGACACAGACTGATTATTGTATTTATAATTATTATGTCTCACAGCCTACTAAAGGTACCTGTTTTGCAGATTTCAAAGAGGAAAGATGGATAAACAATTTTATAAGAGATGCTAATGTCTGAGCCCAGCAAATCCGGGTACTTTGCCAAATGAGAATCAGATCCAAAATGGAACTGGCCACTGGAACCCAACACTAATCCTATGCCAGTATGTTCCCACATACTAACTCAAGAAGCAGGCTCTCCCTGAGCCTGAGACTAGCAGGCACACTTATGCTAAACATGTAATGTAGCCTACATAGTCCAATGTCCAGACTAAGGTTTTGACCTTGGCTATCTTTGGTAGCAAAATTATGGTAGCAAAATTATCCGCAATTATATGCAATGTTTCTACTATGTTTACTTTCTGATTGTGATTAAATAATATATAACAGGAGGCTGTGCAAGTTAACTTCAAACTCACTGTGATAACAAACAGCACTGCCTGTAACATACAACTGACTGAATGTCTGTAGCCTGCTACACAACATACTGTACGACAGCGGTTTGTAACCTTTGGTAGGAATGTGACCCTCTGCTAGGATTAAATGATATCGCGACCCCCACCCAGAACGTCAACATTTAGGAGTGCATAATATCACAGTCAGCGATGTAAAGGTTTTATTCTTACTTTGAACTGGAAACTGTCTACGGCTCAATCCTGTCCTCTCTGCTGGACACACACCTGCCCTGCTACAGCAGAGCTGCTGGTGTCAGGATCCAACAAATTTTCATACAGAGAGCTAAAGAGAAACCGCCGTTAGCTATATAAAGTTAGTGTTTGGGTTTAGTGGGTGAACAGGACCAGGCATTTTGACCACGGTGCCCATAAATGAAATTAAGAGGCAAAAGAGAGAAATAACATCAATGAATCTATTTCTAGACATTGAACACTAAACTGTATGTACAGGACAACTAACCTAACTATATGATTACTCTATAATTTTGATACAAGATGCACTTAGGGATGGGGTTTGACAGCATTTTATCAAATATGAAACCAGTTCCAAATCTGCTTCTTGAATCCCAATACTTTGAATCCCTTATTGAATCTGATTAAGGGGTTTGTTAGTTTAAAAATAGGTATTTTTATTTCACTCACAATAGCAATAAAACAAATGTAAAGTATGTGTTGTGACAAACTATGTTTATGAATCTAGTTTTTCCTATCTATGTTAACACAACCGGTCATTTCAGACCATTTACCAGACAAGCACCGACACTAATAGAAACTACAGGAATGAACTGTCAAACTAAACCATGGACATTCTGCTGAGGTGAAGTAGTGTTGATTTTGTCTCTGCTCCGTGACATTCATTAAGCCTGTCCTCACTCAGGTTTCCTTGTGCTGTGTTTGTTGAACACTTTTTTCAAACCAGGTTTCAGCATTGAGATTTAAGTAATGGTCTTTAATCCTGATGCAGTCCTTGGTGCAAGTCCCAACATAAAAGCTAAAGAAGTGCTTTGAGGCTTTTATGTGAAACACAATGAGGAACATCTTCAATAAAAGCACTGAGCCATATCATACCTGCTCTCACACTGAGAAAACACAAGCTGAGAGGAGTCTGGGCTCTGTGGTTGCTACTCACTTGCATTGCTGTCAGCCAGAGTGTTGAGGTTGCCTGAGATGTCTCGCCTCCTGAACAGACACACCACCTTCGCCTCCACATTGCCATTGGCTGTCTGTAAGTGGAAAGTCAGTACTTAGAAGTTAGCACCATAAAGCAGCAATGCTGTAACTCCATCTGTGATTTTCCCTGGAAAAGTCTGAGCTTTTGTAGCTCCAACTCATTTAAACATCGCTTCAGCTATGCTGACATGGTTAAATTAACTGCTCACTACGGATGGGTAGTGGAGACTGATCTTAAACTAGTATTGGTTCCTGATTGGTCAGACTTAAAGTACTGATATCAGTATTTAAACATTCAGCATTCTTGTTTGCCGACTTTTAAACTTCCTCCCTGCCTCTAACCATCCACAAATGGTGATGCTCTCATTAGTGTCGCAGAACTACATCATCTTTGTGTTCACATTCTCTGCACTGTATTTACACTGGACTAGGGATGTCAATGATTAACCAATTACCAATTCATTACTTATAATATATGTTAACTGACAACGCAGAATACCAGGACAGGTGGTGTTAACTGTTGAAAAATGTGCTGTAGTTTGCTGTAGTAGTCTGGTAACACCACCAGGTGGTGCGTCTTGCTGTTTAATATAATAACCTTAAACTCAAGTTTACATGTAAGGAAGAAATAGTTGCAGCGCAGCTTTCTGTAATCACACTATTGCAATTGTGCTCATAGCATGAAGTTTCCATTGAGTTGCTGTCAGGCAGGGGTAGCTGTTATCGCAGGCTCTGTTAATGTAGGCTAACAGCAGAAAGCACCACTGTGGCTGCACTGCTAACGTTCAGGTTACTTCCAACAGAATCAGCACAAAGGTGATTAAATGTATAAGCGACACTGCTCTGGTCTGAGCAAGGAAGGACATCTGTAGGCCACCAGCTGGGCAACTCAACTGCTTAAGAGTACTGCTACCTGCAGCAAATGACACACACAGGGCTCAATTTTAAGGATTTCCCGTTGTCCCAGGGCTGATAAAAATAGGATTGGGGATGACGTAAAAATATTTTGGGATGCTGCTAACATTACAGCAGTGAAAATAAAACTGACTGCACAGTTTGTGTTGCAAACACAGTACTTAAACCTCCTTAACACAAACAGTATGCCAGGGGTGCCCAATACATCGATCGTGATCAACCAGTTGATTGCAAAGGTAGTGTTGGTAAATTGCATGTCAATATGATCATCATAGTTAATGCTTTCAAACAAAAAATGCAACATCTCTCCTCAAAGCTGCACCACCATTTTTTGGGGAACTTCCAAAACCTCGCATCAGAGCTGGAGACGCAATGGAAGGTCTGTGCGCAACTTGACATTGCGCACTACACAGAGTAGACTTACAATTGTCGGAGATTGACAAACGCATTCAAGGCTTTGCTTCACTCGAGCCAGTCGCTACATTTATGTGTTACCCGATTAGAGAAGATATCAAGGTTCATTCACTCACATCAAAAATTGCAACACTGTTTCATCTGAACTGGTCTGGAGTGGAGGATGAGATATTGACACTACAGGCTGACATTCAGCTGAAGTCCAGGGCCAATGGAACTAATGGTTTTGGAACTTACAGAGGAAAAGTACCCAAACATATGGAAATGTGCCATTGACTGCATTATTTGGCTCTACTTATTTATGTCAGCATTTTCCCATATGAAGATTATTAAGCCGAAAATACCGCTCCACCATGACTGATGATCATTTGGAAGTCTGCTTGAGGCTGGCTACCAGCAGCTACTGTCCGCACTATGCAGCACTGGCTGATTTCATTCAGTGCAAGTCATCAGAGTAAAGTAATGACCAAAAATGTACTGAATTGAAGTGTGCCTTAAAGGTTCATGCAGTTATGCAAGGTGCGCCAGCATACTGTATATTGTGTTTACATAAAGTATACTCAGTGTGTATATATATAGTATTTTTACTGTAGGTAGATCATTTTGACTTGGTCATTTGAAAGGTAGCTCGCAAGGCAAAAAAGTGTAGGCACCCCTGCAGTACGCCAAACATCACTGCTGTTATTGACTGAGTGTCAGAGTGATGAGAGTTATACATAATGGCAATGGCATCCCTGTGTGAAATATTGCAGTTAGCATTAGAAAAAATACAGCAGAGCCAAACCCTGACCTCACAACTGGAAGATTAGCGGTTCGATTCCCAGCTTGTCCAGTCCACGTTAAACCCCCGGTGTGTGAAAATGTGAGTGCTTGGAAGTGTGAATGGGTGAATGGCCAAATAATGCAAAAAATGCTTTGAGTGTATTGCAGTGCTTCCTAAGTATAAGACCATTTACCCAACCAAAAAAAGGTAAGCTTGCTAGCGTTAATGTCAGCAGTTAATGCTAGTCTGTTTGATGGTAACATCGAAAGTCACTTTCAGCTTTTCCCGTTTAGGGGTCGCCACAGCGAATTGTCACACTGACGACTCGCATGTTGACACTTGGCACATGTTTTACACTGGATGCCCTTCCTGACACAACCCTGATTCGAACCCGGGCAGCAGCAGTGAGAGCGCTGCACCTTAACCACTAGCCTACCAGGGATGGCTCATTTGATGCCAACATCAATGGTCACATTTCATTACTACTGTTTGCTAGCAGTTGCCGTTTGCATATACAATGAGCTGGCCAGCTTCTCCACCTCAGTCACACCAGCAAGCTAACTGTTAATTATGTTTGTCGGTTTGGCCGGCCGTAGCCTGGATGTATCTCTGCCCTAAGGGAACACCTACAGGAGCCCAAGTGCTGTGTCCATTGACAGATACTTTTCTAAAAACACAATTCTCAAGCACTTTAAAGCAAGTGACCCTGCAGCTTAAAGTCTATTTTAAGTATATGTATGGTTTGGGTTGAGGGTCTTTTTTAACAGGTTGTGTGGGGTCTGGATATAATTTAGAAATAACTCTGGGTAGCGCGCCGGGTCCGATATAGAGCTTTGCAGGTGCGGGCTTTCAAAATTGGACCGGTGCGGGACTCTTGACTGGCAGAGAATCTGGAATCAAAGAATGACTGGGCCGTCACCAGTCAAGGCTGATCACACTGAAATTTCCAATTTCACATTTCCAATCTCCGCCAGCCGATCTGTGCATTTCTATTTTTATGGTGGTGTATTTTGATTATTCTTGTACAGCACTTTGGTCAATGACTGTCGTTTTTTAAAATTTGTCTTATAGATGAATATATTAGCTTTTTTTTGGAATCACTTCTTCCAGTTAATACTGTGATATGACAAACAATTTATTACAGTCAGATTGATACTGGTGTTACAGTAACAAGTATGATATGACACACTTAAGGTTAGATGTAAGGATGCACCAATACGATTTTTTTTCAGACCAAGTACGGGTACTTACATTTCAGTACTTGCAGATACTGAGTAACGTTACAAGTACTTAATAATAATAATAATAATGCAGTGTTTCTACTACAAAAATGACTGAACATAAAGACACATTTTATATTTTCATGAGACTTACCTCTGATTGTGATTAAATTACAACAGGGGGCTGTGTAAATTTGAAACCTGCGATAAAACAGCACTTCCACCATTCCTACTTTTATGTTATGAATATAACATGAACTGATTTTAAAGGTATGCAGCCTACTACATAACATACTGCAATACAGTGGTTTTTAGCTTTGATAGAGCAACCATCTGTTAGGACGAAATTATTTCATGACCCCCGCCCAGAACAGCAAGTTTAAGGAGGGTATATATATATATATTCTTTCTTTAAACTGACCATTGTCAGTGGCTTCATCCTGTCCTATCTGCTGGACTACTACATAAAAGGAGTGTTTTTCTTGTTCTCATCAACTCACTTCAGTCAGCAGAAACAGCACCGTCTGGGGAGAGTGAAGACGTCGCATTTCTGCAAGATGGTTTTTGTGTTCAGCTTGTTCAACAGGTGTTTGATTAATTGCCCTCTCCATTGCTGCTGGGTTTTTTTGCACAGAGTCTTGTTGTCACAGTAAAATACTAACTACTGTACCTCGTTATCTTGTCTGTTTGTGTGTGCGCTCACAGTCATGCTGTTTGTGTGTCTGTAAGCGTCCCTCCCTCCCTGTCACAGAGGCAGAGCCGAGAAGCAAAGCTCACAGTTGGCTTTACTTTTGTCGCCGTGACTTTTCTTAACATATCCACAAAGCACTGAAATTTCTTCTCCACTGCCTAACAAGCGGCTCAGCCATGATGATTAATGTAATGTTGTTAAGTGGTATCAGTACATAGTATCAGACAACTTTTATGAGTAGTGAGAACAGTGGTAGAGGGTGGCACTGGACCTGATACAGATACTGGTATCGCTATAGGTGCATCCCTATTAGAAGGTAAGGAGTTTCCTTTTCTCTGGACTGACTGATCATAAGCGGAGAGAAAGCAGCACCAGCACAGACACACACACACACACACACACACACACAGTGTTTCTCTCTACTGTGCAGCCTGGGCCTGGATAGCCAGCCATTCACTCCCCTTACCATTACCATTCACTCCCTTATCCACTATGCTCAGCTGCCCTCAGCACTCAGGACTAGGGTTGCAGTAGTATCCCAGTTTCATGGTTAACCATGGTATGAAAACTGATGGTTATCATACCATGCACATTTGTTTAGTACTAGTATTAAAGGGGAAAAAAACACAATACATGTGCACCTTTCCTCCCCAGCTGCCTGTTAGACTTCACAGCAGGTGCCAGACTCACACATGCAGTAAACAAATGGCAGAGGGGAGGTGGCTGATATCACCAATCTCCAGCCATGAAAATAATTTCAAATCAGCAGTGCAGGATTACTTTGGCAATACCAAAAAAGAAAACTTTCAAAAACACTATCCCTCGTGCAGATCAAAGTATGTGATCCGTTTATAACCTTAATCCCAAACAATAAAATGTGTTAGTGTAAAAGCCTTGGTCCTAAAATTAGCTATCAAAATCATTTTCCACACTGTCCGTTCGTTCACTGACGCTAGACTTACAAAAGGACTCATACTGATCCTGATGTGACCCTGAACTACACACACAAACTTTCCCGGCTCACATTAAGTAAGTGTGTGTGTATATATGTGTGTATGTGTCTGAGAGAGAGAGAGTGAGTGAAGACAAGCTACAGACATGATTGCTCTGGCTTCGCCATTGTGCACCTACAGTAATTAAGCAACTATTTCAACTAATTCAGCTATTTCGGAATATTTTCAAACCAGTCAATTAATGGAGAAAAGAATCAGCAGGTTAATCCATAATGAAAATAATCAAAGGTTGCACTTAGATATAAAATAGTTCAGCAAAACTCCACTTCAACCAACTCTAACAGTCAAATCTTGATTTTACATCAGTGCGTGAGTGATGTAGGCTATTAATGTAATGATATAATAGCATAACAGCATAGCATACATAGTATAACATTTTCTGCTTTGAGTAGCCTACTTCTATATACCTTAATCACATTTTTGTCATGTTTTTACTTATTTTTAATGCAAGACTTTTAATAGAGTGGGCAACTCTGTGATAGTACTTAAGTGAAGGATACTTCCTCTACTACTGATGCTAACATGGAAAAATGCTACCTAACATGCTTTAGTTATACAACATGTACACTTATATGTAGGGGTGTGTATCTCTCGCCTCTAACATGATTCGATAAGTATCTTGATTCATGGTCCACAATTAGGTAGAAAAACGATACTGCAAAATTTGTAAAACAGTAGGATTCAGAGTGATTTTGATTTGATTCAGCAGATGTTCAATTTTAATTTTGTTTTTATCTGAAAGACTATACATGTATTAAAGAAGGGCTGCATGATTAATCATATGGTGAGTGTGACATAGATCCCTGTGCGATCTCAGCTGTAAGTGGCAATGATTCTGCCATGTTTGCATTAGCAGGAAGAAGCCTTGCAACAAACCAAGCATTCCCTTTTCCTTGCTACGCTTCTTTAATCAATAGCAGGAAAGTGTTACATCATGTGACAAGCTGTAGACAGGAAGAGAAGACTGATTCAAAAACATGTTTGACATGGTGAAAGATATTCTGGCGCCTTGCATCTATTTTTCAAAGGTTGCACTGCCTGCCCTGTACACCTAGGGCTGAATAGCAATTGAGGCAGAAGTAAATCACTTTGCGATTATTAGTTATAGTTACTAGTTAAAGCAGCTTAGCAAGGAAAAGGGAGCACTTTGTTTGATGCAAGCATCTCCCTGCTAATGCAGACATGGCAGAATCATTGTCACATGAGACTGAGATTTCACAGAAATCTATATCATGCTCACGGTAAGATTAATCGTGCAGCCCTACATTAAGGTTATCTGTTTACGGTATAAAATTATAAAAAAGTGTTTCCTCAAAGATGGTTTTTATTTCAAGCAGCAAAAGACAGAGATAAAACAGGAGGGCTACTCTTTTCAACAACAGTAAACAGTGGGCCTTGGTGAACAGTAAACTTACAACTGCTGTTTCACCTTATAACAACGCTGCAATGCATTTTTCACTTAAATCCTGCTGACTCGTTATGGTGTGCCTCACTGTCACTTCTCCAAATCCCACATTTTGAACAACACATGTGCATGTCCTTGCAAATGAAACAGAATATACTGTAGCTTTAGTTATTGACTTCAACTCGACTGGGTGGAATTATCAACTAACGTGCTCTGAAATTAGCTGCTAACAACACTAACACTGTTACTTGTCTCAAGCTGACTGCACTCGCAACTAACTGTACTGTTTCCATCAGTGCAGTGTGTTGCCTTTGTGATGTTGCTACTACTTTGTGACGTCTGTGTTAAGGGGCTTTCAGATAGGACGCCATCTACCTTAATTTCCGGACTATAAGCCGGTAACGTTTTTCCACACGCTTTGAACCCTGCGGCTTAAACAATGATGCGGCTAATTTATGGATTTTTACGGGCTAACGAGCTTCATGCCGACAATACATTTAGCCACGTCACATCAGACCAATGAAATTACAGAACAGGTCACAGTGGACCAATGAAACTGTTCGAATTAAATCAAATGAATTCACACTAAATTCTTCAGATCAGTCATTTTGCGCTTCATGCACACACCCTCATCATGGAAAACGCATGACGAAATGCATATGATGCAGCTTTCAAGTTAAAGGCAATCGATCTGGCTGTCGAAGAAGGAAACAGAGTTGCTGCACGTAAGCTTGGCATCAATGAATGGATGATGAGACGTTGGAGATGGCAGCATGAAGAACTGACTCAATCCAAAAATCTTTCTGTGTACACCTGGGGCTTATAGACAAGTGCAGGCCTATATATGTACAATTTTTTTTTTCTTTTTAAATTTAGTGGGTGCGGCTTATATTCAGGTGCGCTCAATAGTCCGGAAATTACGGTAACCCATTTATTTCTGTGTTGTGCGGCAAGAGCGCCCTTGCGCTGCGCCGAGCTGAGCACACATACCGTGAGAATCACCTACCATTGCAACCCTACTCAGGACAACACAGTCCCCCCGGTGCTCTGCACAAGCTCAGTTTAAGAGTGTTGTAGAAATGAGCTTAATCCTTTAACTGGAAAGCAAGCCTGCGTCATATGCTGCTGGTGTTATGTAAGTGGCTCTTTTACCAGTGCCCTGCCATTACAGTAGTCATAGTTTTCTAACCAGTGTCCAGAGGAAAAAATTAGGGAAATTGTGTGAGTGTACAGTATGTTGACTGGAGCCATGTTTGGCACGTCCCAATGTAGAATTTTAACAGACACCTACCAACCAATCTGAATGTTTTGTGGTGTACAGCTAACCAATAAAACACCAAATTTTTAAGGGAAACATAGGACACTAATATAAGAAAAGAAGGAGACAACCAACCTTGTTGAGCTCTTCTATTCTGCGGATCAAGTAAGGATTGCTGGACGAGTTCTCAAAGTACACATAATCTGGGAAAAACAAGAGAAGAAAAGGTTAGATTCATGATATGTTCACAGTAAAATATGCACATCTACAGTCAGGTCCATAAATATTGGGACATCGACACAATTCTAACATTTTTGGCTCTATACACCACCACAATGGATTTGAAATGAAACGAACACGATGTGCTTTAACTGCAGACTGTCAGCTTTAATTTGAGGGTATTTACATCCAAATCAGGTGAACGGTGTAGGAATTACAACAGTTTGTATATGTGCCTCCGACTTGTTAAGGGACCAATAGTAATGGAACAATTGGCTTCTCAGCTGTTCCATGGCCAGGTGTGTGTTATTCCCTCATCCCAATTACAATGAACAGATAAAAGGTCCAGAGTTCATTTCAAGTGTGCTATTTGCATTTGGAATCTGTTGCTGTCAACTCTCAAGATGAGATCCAAAGAGCTGTCACTATCAGTGAAGCAAGCCATCATTAGTCTGAAAAAAACAAAACAAACCCATCAGAGAGATAGCAAAAACATTAGGCGTGGCCAAAACAACTGTTTGGAACATTCTTAAAAAGAAGGAACGCACCAGTGAGCTCAGCAACACCAAAAGACCAGGAAGACCACGGAAAACAACTGTGGTGGATGACCGAAAAATTCTTTCCCTGGTGAAGAAAACACCCTTCACAACAGTTGGCCAGATCAAGAACACTCTCCAGGAGGTAGGTGTATAACAATCAAGAGAAGACTTCACCAGAGTGAATACAGAGGGTTCACCACAAGATGTAAACCATTGGTGAGCCCCAAAAACAGGAAGGCCAGATTAGAGTTTGCCAAACGACATCTAAAAAAGCCTTCACAGTTCTGGAACAACATCCTATGGACAGATGAGACCAAGATCAACTTGTACCAGAGTGATGGGAAGAGAAGAGTATGGAGAAGGAAAGGAACTGCTCATGATCCTAAGCATACCACGTCATCAGTGAAGCATGGTGGTGGTAGTGTCATGGCGTGGGCATGTATGGCTGCCAATG